ATGTGTGTGTGTGCTGTTGTTCAGGATCTCCGTTCACTCTCAGCACTCCCAGCGCTCCAGGACCTTTAATCTTCACAGCTTTGAGTCCAGACACGCTGCAGCTGAGCTGGGAGAAACCACGCAAACCCAACGGAGACATCCTGGGCTACGTGGTCACCTGTGAACAGCTGCACGGTGGAGGTCAGACACCAACCTGACTTTATTTTTCATGTGACATACAAAATCACCGCAACTGCACTAATCAAAAACAAGCCCCGTTCTTTAGCTTCCTTGGTAAGACTCTATCTTTGGTGTCCGTGCAGGAGATCTTCGCTCCTTCCAGGTGAATGGCAACGCTGCGACTTCTTTGACGGTGTCTGACCTGAAAGAAAACATGCCGTACAAATTCAAAGTTCAAGCCCAAACCACACAGGGCTTCGGACCGGAGCGAGAGGGCATCATCACCATCGAATCCCAAGATGGAGGTATGCGGGACATTAGAACAGTGTCACTGTTATTTCACTGTTTTAATAATTAATAATCATAGCCTGCTTTTTATGATTCAGTCTGATGAATATTCTGTTTTACTTGGAAATACATCACATTGCATTTTAAGTTGTCTTGGAGGATAATGAATGGTTGAAACTTTATCATCTCTTCTTCTTTTCTCCTCCTCCTCTTCCTCAGGCTCTATGTCACAGTACAGCAGTCAGTCAGTCACAAAGAGAGAGGTGTTTAACCTACCAACAGAGATTACTTCACACACCATGTTCTCGGAACCCTTCGTGTCTTCAGGTACAGACACACGACTACATATCTTGCTGGGTTATCAAGAACGATAACGATTAATTACAGCTGTAATTACATGCAGGAGTTTTTAAAATATAAGTACAATATAAAAACTTGCATGTACACAATAAGTTCACAGTATCAAATGATGAATTTACATGTTAGTACATATTAGTTGTACTTTATCGTTATAATTATTGTCCTTGGTGTGAACGGTCTTCATAATTTCAATTAAATCGGACCCGCAGGATGTTTTATAATGAATTATGCTAATTTATTTTGTTATATGTAGGTTTTTTTGGGTTGATGATTTTTTTTTTTATCAAATCAGACAAATTTCTATACAAAGTCTGCCAATTTCTATACAATAATGTCACATTTAACACCGTAATCAAAAGTTTTTAACTGGACAGTTACAGTACAGCACCACAAAATGTACACATTATTTTCAGAAAACAAAAATAAAATATTGAATTTTTATTTATTTAATTTATTTACTCTTTGGAGTAAAATAGACCACTGTGGGAAAATAAAGTTGTACTTCTATTATTAAATATTAACACAAAAATTGGTATTATTTTATATTATTTAATATAAACCAACAAAACATAATTACATAATTCATACTAATTATGATTATTTATTTTGATAAGTAGAATATTTTTTTCTAAAATTAGCATTTTTCTCAAACTAATTCTATTACAATTATTATTAAATGTAACTGAACTAAATAGTTATTTTTTTTAGAACTTGTTTAGATTTATGGCATTGATTTCTCACAGTTTTAGAGTTAAACATGTTTGTTGGAAAATATATATTTCATACAAAAATGTATATATATAAAAAAAATAATGCTTTAAACTTTCTTTCATTAGTTTTTCACTTCTGCAATAATCTGCCAAGTGCTGTCTTTAAAAAGAGACCAAACTTAAGTTGCATTTTAGTTGGAAATGTTAATTTTCAGGTCAATGCTCAAAAAGTCAATAAATGGATTATAACTACTGCATAAATATCATTTAGTGCCATAAAATCCCCTAAAAATACAAAATATTAAATTAAAAACATCAAACTAAAATATAGTTAATTTCATTGAAAAAAAAAAGGAAAAAAACAGTCATTTTTGCCCGCCATATGGGCACATGTGTCTAATGTTTGTGTGTTTTTTTAGACGGTATGATGTTGATGTCGAGCAGGCAGATCACGGAGTCGGGCGGCACCGTCACACGGCAGGTGGAGATGGTGCAGAGAGGAGTCGTGTCCAGCAGCACCGTCACAAAGAAGCTGGAGAGGCAGTACTTCGAAGCCTAATCCAACTTTCTTTTGCCTTCAACAGAATGTGTATATATACGCTCAAGCGAAACTAAGTTAACTAGAGAAGTTCACCGACCAATGTGCACAACACATGGTTTTTATGTGAGGATGAGAACAGCTGAGCTCTTGGATTCCTTGGATTATTGCTCATCAAGACCAAAGTCTTCAAGCCTAAATATTTAGTTGAATGTAAATACTTAAAAACCTTTTAGTGTTATCGCTTCCAAACAGGTATTTGGTAAGACTTTTAGCATCAAACCATGTTTCCTACAGTGTTTGTGAGAAATGTTATTGACGTATGCGCCATGGAATAGGTTAAAGATCTCCTGTTGCTTATTTGAGCTTGATTGCTTTCATTTTGACAAGGTTTGAATTTAGCAGATTTCATATCATGATGTTGCTTTCAAGTTGTATCACATTTTTTGAGCATAGAGGTTTTCTAAATGTATTTTTCACATCAAATGTGACATGTCTTATGATTTAGAGTTTACACTTCAACTCGTTATTATTTTCCTTCTAAATCAAATTTTACTTGTTAAGGGTTGTATTAAATGTTGCAACCCAAGCGCATGCATATGGACTCGATTCTTAGGATTGTAAATATGTTACTGAGGTTTGTTTTTTTATTGCCTTGTTGCAAGATGTGCTGTTGCAACTTTAGGCCTGCAGCTGTATTTTAGTTTAGTACACTACTGGCAATTCAGAAAAGATTACCGACATCACACTTGTGCACCCTTAAATAACATTTTTACTGCCTTTAATAATCTGTTCGGTACTTTTGACTTGGGGGAATTTTTTTTTCTTTTTAAAGATTTTTATGATAATTGCATTTCACCATCATGTTCAAGCTGTAGTATGTAGGTATGTAGTATGCAAAACTTCTCACTGCATTTCAGTTCACCGCACTTAATGAAACAATAAATCATTCTACCACAGTCAACTCATTGTGTGTTAGCTTGGTTTATTAGAAACAGATTTAGGTGCAATCAACTGTTTTTAGCACACTGTGGACCCACTGAAATGCTTTACGTTGAATAAACGAGTACGAGCTGACAGTGCCCTCTATATGCTTTCTTATGTAACTGAAAAACAAACAAACATGGAGTAAGATGTGATTACATCCCATTCTTGTTAAAACTAGATTTGCATTTCCTAAGGGAGCGGTACATTCAGGGCAGCAAAAGAACAGTTAGATTTTAGGCCTTGGATTGGGCTAATTATAATCATTTTCTGTTGGCTGTACTCGTAAATATAATGAATGGGTAAACAGATGCAAATAAATCATAATTCAGTATGCAATATTACAATGACACAATCGCTGTCGGTTACATTTTTGAATGCTGAACATTCTATCAAATGCGAGTAGATTAGAAGAGATTTTTCAATGTGTTACTCCCTGAAAAAAGTAATAATTGCATTACTTAGTTACTTTTTATGGAAAGTAATATGCATTGCATCAGTTTTGTGTTACCTTTACTCACCTGGGCTGGGCTTGCTTGTTTGTTTTTTTAATTACAAAAAAAAAAAACAGTTACATTTTTTGCCAAATTTAAAGGGCCCTTTCGCACCAAAAGTGAAATGAATAAGCCTCAGGCAGAGGCTAAGAGAAAGCAAATTCACTCCTGTACAGTAGAGGGCGCAGCTCAAACAAACCTTTCAGCTTTTGACTTAGAAAATATTCTTTCTTTTTAAAGATTTTTATATGATAATTGCATTTCACCGTCATATTCAAGCTGTAGGCATGTAATATGCAAAACTTCTCACTGCATATTTATATCACTGCCATTTAGATCACAGAAGAATAGGATGCAGGAGAAGAAAGTTAAACTCTTTCAGCAATAAAAATAATAATAATCAAACAAACACGTGATGTTTAGTCAATTTTTGCTTCTTAGTATGGTTAAATTGGATTAGCAGCAAAGCAATTGGTTAATAAAGTAAGGTTAAACAAAGCATATTGGTGTTATTTAAGATATTTAATTATTGCAGGTTTTCATTTGCATTTCATTGTTTTTATTCATTTTGAGGAATACTTTTATGCAAGTGAGATGAGTAAATGCATGTTCACATTTAGTCTACAGTAACCGTCACAGCGCACACCCCCAACACTGGCTGCAGGAGGTATTTCTGTAAGCCAAACCATGGAAACGATCATTTTAGCACTTCCGGTTCCATCATCCTGGAGTCAATGGGTTTCTTTGAATGAGTTTTTGGTTAAATGCTTGAAATAAGGTCTGTTGTGAACACAAGATCAAGATATTTCCACATTTCATTCTACAACTACAAATACATCAGTAATACCCCTTATGAATTTTTATATGAGTTTTTCTTTTTACAACTTTAATTAAAAAAGGCAGTTGCAAACAAGTGGCTAAATGAGGCTAAAGAAGCTGTCAGGAGCCGAACAGGAAACCGCATTTACTTTTACAGCCTTGTGTTTATAATCATGCTCTTGCAAACTCAACTCAAACTTTCAGAGAAAATATTTTTTAAAAAGACTAAAAGCATCTTTGTATGCTACGTGGTGTTGACAGTGAAGTCATGCGACAGTGGTGTAGTTCGTTTATAGACTACGTTTAGCTTTTTACTTCTGGTGATTGATAGTCTTCAAAATTCATAAAAGTTGTTCATTTGTGAAAATGAACAAAATGTGTAAGAATCATAAACTTTTGTTGGTCACAGAGCTTATTTTCTGCAATAATCCAAAAGCTGCGATTAATAAACCCTTTTGCGATACAGTTGAGGAAAGCCTTGACGATTCGTAAAAGCCATTGGAAAAATCCTACTGGGTTTCTATCAAGGGAACCAGGTTGACCTACAAAAATACATCATCACTGCAGCAGCAGGAAAGACATGAGTTTTGGGCGGGACTATCTGTTTGTCTGACCAATCACAGACTGTCTAACAAGTCTTTTTTTTTTTTTTTTTTATTCCTTGTGGTGCAGAAATGACAACTTTAGCTACTCTAAAAAATGTAAAATACCTTCTATGCACCCCCAAGCATTGATCAAATGAATGAACTGTATGAATGTTTTATGGTGTGTGATTTTTTTCGTATGCGCGTTCGTCATGTACGTTAGAAGAACAGACACTGTCCCTTACAGAGACATCGCTCCCTCAGATCTGCAGGCCTGATCACCATCTCACGCACCATCTCCACCGTCCCAAACACAGGGTAAAGCTTCTCTGTGAACCTCTCGCTGTATGTGTAGATGTGCGCGCGCCTTTGGATGTCATAGAAGGACAGCTGCCCCTCCTCATAGTCCAGGTAGACTCCCACCCTCCGCGGGATGAGCGACCGGGGCAAGAAGGTAGGCGGTGCGGTCAGGGCCTTGAGCTCGGACCCCCGCTCCAGCCTGAGGGTGAGGTATCCGCTCTGAGTGTTGAGCGGTCTGTAGCCCTTGCAGACGGCTGATTCTTTGGCCACCCCGAGACGCCAGTCACGGTCGCCCACTTCTACCTCCCAGTACCGGCGTCCTGCCGAGAAGCCCTCTGAGCCGAAACAGCACCACCAGCCGTCGAAGCGCCTCAGACTGCAGGAGACCCCGCGCCGCTCCAGACCACACTGCATACGCTTGCAGTCTTCAGACAGGACAAGGGCAGGGTTGGCCGTCTCTGGGTCAAAAGTCACCTCCACTGTAAAATAAGGCCACACTATGGTTAGATTTATGATTTTAGGTTTATCTTGGAAGGTTTTCAAAAAAGCTAGACATCTAAAAAAAATTTTTTTTTAAAAATGGCAGACTGCCAATTAAAAAAGTTTGATGCTAGGATATTTCTAAAATAATAATGAAATATAGTTATGAGTATAAAATACAGCATACAGACACAAATATTCTGAAAAATTGCCCATTTTATTTTTCTACCACTACTTAAAAAAATCTTTATTTTTCTCATATTGTCCACCATTTGTCATTCTGATATATATATATAAAATGATTGGATACAGAATTATGGACTTAAAATGTATCCAGAATGGATTTACGGTGAAGAGGAAGACAGTACGATTACTGTTAAGTGTTCTCGACCTAGATGGCGATAGATGAGCACCACTATCCTGGTCCAAACTTTATGTGGCACGTTAACTTGTGGTGCTCGTCTATAGGCGTCCTAAGTCAAATGGTAATGCCATGTTGGTAGATTAGCACCTGTAGAATTTCCTTTTGTTGAAAGCCCATATAAAAGTAAAAAGCTACTATGTTTAGATCCATGTCCGACTTCACGAGCGCATTTCTTTACAAAAAAAAAAAGAACGTCTACGGAAGGCTGTATTCTCGCAATGTTTCGACATTAATCTCAAAATATTTCAACTTTATTCTCAAAATATTTCGACTTTATTCTCGAAATGATACGACTTTATAATCTTTTTTTTTTTTCATTTTTTTTTTTCAGATTTATTGTTTTATACGTTACAGTTCAGGGCTTTCGTAATATATATTTATGCATATATTTATACACCATTCAAAAGTAAGTCAGATTTTCTAAAATAAATGAATACTTTTATTCAGCAAGGCTGCATTAAATTGGTCAAAAGTGACAGTAAAGACAAGACATTTATAATGTTTCAAAAGATTTCTTTTTCAAATAAATGCTTTTAAACGTTCAGAATCCTGAACAAAATGTATCATATTTTTGTTTAAATAAAAATATTAAGCAGTGACACATACCTGCAGCATCACATATCCAGTTCCACACTGAAACAAAGAGCAATACTTCTGTGTTACTACATAACATAATAGAAACTATTCCACTGATGGTCTCAGTGACTAGAGTCACTGAATATCAGTTCATTTAAATACTGCATAATAATTGTGTGATTGCTGAAACTATTACTCTCTCACCAATGTGTGGAATGTAGCCAGTGAAATCTAAAAAGACCAGAGAGAGAGATTACCAGAAAGCCCATTCAAGACATGCCAATCATCTTCTCAATATCCAAAGAAATTCAGGTCTGATCTAATAAAACTGGTGTATGTGATTTAAAGGAAACTACCATAAACATAAGCAATATAAGCTTTGTTTTTGCAATTCCATTTGGTGCCACTAGTGGTGCAGAAATCACTTAGGTAACTTAGGCAGCTGTAGGTAATTATCCTTCAAAAAAAGGCATTAATGTCATTGCCTGCTCACCGATCTTCTGGGTCTTTTGTTTTTGTACCAGCCACAGTCTTGGAATGAGCTCCTGCAATGTCAATGGTGGTGCTTGTTATTAGATCAGTTAAAAATATAAATCGCAGATTTTGAATTTTATGCAAGTCTATGAATGTTGTATATGTTTCCAGAGGCATCGCACCTTGTCCAGGTGTTCCCCAAGAACGAGGCCAATGAGCAGCTCCACGGCAGACTGCAGGTGTGACAGGTGACCCCGCTTCCACTGCAGCTCCACGTCATCCAACATCATCAACACCGCCTCACCCGGCCAGATACCGTGCTGGAGAGAGAAACTGATAAATGACTGAAATCATAAAATATTATCTTTTTAAAACACACTTCAGAAACTGTCAATGTCCAAAGTTTTCAGAAGTTCATTTATGTGCATGTGTCACAGTGGAGTTGTTCATAATGAGAGAAAGAGAGATGATACTAACAGTATTTACAGATATTGAGTTACACACAAATGATTCCTAAGAGGACTCTGAGAGATGAATGAATTATTGATTAGGCATCAGAAAGGTGACGCTATATTGAAAGGATACATGTCCCTATAGACTTAAAGGTGTGTAATTTTATCGATGTTTAAATGCTTTCTCGTATCCAGGTTAATGTGTGACAACTATTAGTTAGCTATTTGAAGGTTGACTTCCTCGAAGAGTGTAAACAATGTGGCTAAGACTGGAAAAGGGATAATTCACCCAAAAATGAAAATCCTGTCATCATTTACTCACCCTCATGTTATTCAAAACCTGTATGAGTTTTTTTGTTCTGTTGAGCTAACAGCTAAAAGTTAAAAGTTTTTAGCTGCTGTTTTTAGCTGCTGAGCTAAAAGTTAGTTGACTTCTATAGTAAGTCAATGGCTACCGTAAACTGTCTGGTTACCAAAATTCTTCAAAATATCTTCTTTTGTGTTCAACAGACGAAAGAAACTCATACAGGTTTGGAACGACATGAGGGTGAGTAAATGATGACAGGATGCAGGGATGCCATCAAAACCAGGCTACTGGTTCCCTTGAAATGTTCCTATGGGTTTTTATAGTGGGTTTTTTCAATTTATGAAAGAAATAAGGTCTGTGGTAAACAACTTGATGGTACTTAAACGTCTTGCTCTCAAATGTAAACTGCACACACTCACACCTGAAACGCTCTTATATAGTTACTTATTAGAAACGTTTGTTTTTTTTTGCGTTTTTTTTTAAACAGCTTCAAAATATGGGACGTTTTCGATATGGGAGTGTGTAATTTACTCGAGGGAACCAGTGGCAAATTAGTCTCCCGGGGTTTGACGTCATCCCTGCATGAGACCTTTAACAAAACGTTCTTAGAACATATTCATGTAAGCTGGATAGCATTAATGACACAGTACACTACATTTATTTAGGTATTGTTGCATAATGCATACTGTTTTACATACTATTAAAATTGTAGGTAGTATAAAGTGTACACTATGCAGTAAGCTAGAAGTGTTTGGCAAACCTGTCATTATTTTAATTGAAAAACTGTACAAGGCAATGGTGAGTTTCCATTTATACAGCTTAACGGGTTGTGCATGTCTCTCTCAGGTCAGTCAGCGAGGTCGTTTGTAATCAACACAGTCGGACAAGAGGATCATAGCAAGGTTAATATCCTAATACTTAATCAGAGAGCAACCCAAGACTAAGACCCATAGACAGAGAGAGAGAGAGACAGACACTTCATTTACAGCATGGATTGATATTAAATTACACATTCATAAACAAATTACCCCTGACAAAGAGACAGAATGTTGTAACCATTAATATATTTACCGATATAAACGTATTTGCTATATAGAGACCCACTAAACATTACCAGCCAAAAGTTTGTACATGCTTGATTGAATATGTTTCTCAGGATATAACAAACTTTTTGATATAATGGCTTATGCTTAAATAACTGAAATTAGTTTTGTAGACAAATATAACTTACGCCCTCCTATGAATTTATTTCGCAAGATAAATACGTGTTACATGTACATGTACTCCTTCAATACGGTTAAAAAAGCACCCCGGGATGCACCTCATGAGGTTGAGAAAATGGCTGGTAGAGTATGTGCAGATGTTTCTGATCCTCACCGGGTGTCTGTTGCGCTGTCCTCTGGTCCAGTCCATGATGATCCTTTTATAAGAGCCCATGTCATGCTCTCCTCCCTGCTCAAGCATGCTCAGTAAATGACTCTTCCAGTCCCGCTTTTCGGGATGCAGATCGGTATAAACTTGCATGGGCTTCTCCGTATTTTCCTGCACAGCGTGTAAAAAAAACACAAGACTTGGAATTTTATGATACTTTTATGGTGTATTTGAATATTGAAATCTCCAGTCCCCATTTATTATCTGTATAGAAAAATGTGAAATTTTTTTTTTAAATGTATCTTTTTGTGTAAGAAAATCAGTCAAATGGCTTATCATTTTTGGGTGACCTATTCCTTTAACCTTGGCAACCCCATTTAGACATTCAGGGCACATTTACATGACAACCATGTACTAAAAATGGAAAAGTTTTTCGCAAAAAGACGCCAACATTGTCAAAACGATCCCGTTCACACGGATCAGCAAAACTGATGTAAATAAAAGCTGTATTATTGTACTATGCAGGCCAGTAGTTGGCAATGTCAATTTGTAAAGGAAAACTACGTGCCACTGCCTATACATAATACACATGACGATGGATTCAAAACTCAGGGGCCATTTACACAACACTGTTTTCAACTAAAAACGGAAAACTTTTAATGCATTTTGGCCGTTCATTTACACGACAACGGCATTTGAAAATGATACCGTTATCATCTCTGTGTAAACTACAAAAACGTGATTTTTTGGTGTGAAAGCGGTGGCGTCATGGCACTTCTTTTCAACTTCTTTTGTCTATACGAGAAAAAACCCAATAGAAAAACTTTTCTGTTTTTAGTACATCGTTGTCATGTAAACGTACCCTTAATGCAATTCACCCCTCACCGGAAGCCCGGGGTGGGGGGTTGTGGTTTTTTTTGTGAAGGGTCAATTTCAATTTTGCAACATGTTTGATTCAGTATCAGTGATTCTGAAAATAATTGCCTCAGAAACTAGAGGCCTATTCAGCCCCTTGAGCTGACATTTATGACGCAGTAAACTTTTTAATAAACAGCCCGTGTCTGACTCAAATCAATTACTTTGATTTCTCAGAAGAAATGTGCTGACAACAAGCTTTTTTAAAAGTACACTAAATCCGAGAGGCGGACGCCCTGGAGCGAACTACAGCTCAACACTTTTCTCAAGGACACAAAAGTGCTGCGGACTACAGTATACTATAACTTACAAACAAACCACGATTAGAGCTTGATCCTTTGAAAACTGACACAGAATTTTAAACCCTTAAGCCACTGGACCTGTCAGTCAGCCTGACATAAACAGACTATCTGGTTACTATGGGGACTGGTGGCACTTTGAGTCTAAAGCAGGATTTTATCTAAATATAACACACGGTTCTAACCAACCAACATCAGCCTGTAATTAAAGTCATGCAGATCCTGAGAAATAACAGCTGTCTGAAAAACCGTGTGTATCTCCTTTCGGATGCGAAAGTTTATTTGCTGAGGAACAGGGTTTTGCACCATTCAAAAAATTAACTGAGAATGTTTGTTACCATTCTATTTATATCCTGAACTTAAATTTAGGTAGAAAATCTGATGAAAAATTATCATTTAAATTTAAGGAAGTACATTTAAAATGAATGTAACTGCTTTTTTAATATATAAAAATATTATAATAAAATATTAATAATACAATTTTTAGTATGATTATTATACACACAACATAAGGGACATTTATATTTTATTATAAATTTCACTTCATTTTAAACTTTTATTATGTATACACTACCATTCAAAAGTTTGGGGTCAGTAAGATTTTTTATTTTATTTACAGAGATTAATATTTATTCAGCAATGACACATTAAATTGATAAAAGGAGACATTAAAGACATTTACAATGTTGCAAAATATTTCTATTTCATATAAATTCTGTTCTTCTGAACTTTCTATTCATCAAAGAATCCTGAAAAAAAGTATCACAGTTTACACAACAAATATTAGTAGCACAAGTGTTTTCAACATTGATAATAATCAAAATGTTTCTTGAGCAGCAAATAATCATATTAGAATTATTTATTAATCAAGCTGAAAATTCAGCTTTACCGTCACAGGAATAAATTACATTTCAAAATATATTCAAATATAAAACAGTTATTTGAAATTGTAATAATATTTTACAATATTAGTGTTTTTACTGTATTTTTGACTAAATAAATGTAGCCTTAGTGAGCATAAGAGACTTCTTTCAAAAACATTAAATAAATCTTACCGACCCCAAACTTTTGAACGGTAGTGCATATAATTATAATTAGTATATATTAGTAACATAAATATAGTATAGTTTAGTATAAATTATAGTTATAGTATAAAATTACAATTAATAAATACAAATTTCAATAATATCTTTCTATAATATTATCAGCTAGTCTGTTATACATGAATAAATGTAATCAGTTATATGGACCATGACAGAATAAGTCATCTATTTTAGTCTTGATGAAGCAGCTTATAGATAGAGATAGAAGATAGAAACCTTTAACAGGACACATAAGAATAGATCTGTGTTGTGTTGAACAAATTCAATTCCTGTTGTGTGTTGAATTTCTTTAAAGTGCAACTGAGTAAATTCCTCTGCCTGTGATTGAGTTCATGTTCTCTAACCTTCATCTCCAGAACGTTGGCGGTCTCCACAATGAACTCTCGACAGGCGTGCGGAGGCCACACGTCCTCTCCGGTCCAGATGTGAGCCAGAATATCTGTCCTCTGAAAGACATCAGCATAAGAGGTTCCAACAGAGAGTTCGAAAATGTGTGTAGAAATCTATTGGAAATCTCTGAGTTGATGGCAGTGAATTCCTTCGTTGATCCTGGCTAAAGAAAAGCCAGGCACAATGCAATAATGTATTTGTCTCACCTGACAGATCCTGTTGAGTTCTCGCGCGAGCTCCATTATAAACAGCTGACTCTCTGTTAATGGCTCTTTCTTTACGTGTTTCACTCTTTTCCGCGTCTCCTGTACAGAGATTTGGAAACTATGGAGAAACTAAAGCTACACCAGGCTGAACTTTTTTTTCTTTTCTTTCTGAAAGTCATGAACATTTCCACCACATCACAAATAATACAATTGTGTCTGATAGCATGAAATGACAGTTAAACATGTTGGATTATAACTGCCGACTCCTTTGTTCTGCATTATGTATCCTCCATACTAGAGCTGCAAAACTAATTGTTAAAAGATTGCGATCTCAATTCAAACACCCACGCGATCTTATTCCAATTCATTAAAAAAATCACTGTGGAACATTTAAATCTGTGTTTGCGCAGCCGCTGAGCCAGAGAGCAGCTGCCACGTAGGTATGAAACAGCTTCACAAACAGGGATAAAGTACTGGGATAAAAGTTTATAGTTCAGATATAAACTTATGTCTACGGAAACAATCAAGATGGCGGTTCAAATAATGATTGTATCATTATAATGATTGTATATCCAGTAATGAAACAAGTGAAGTAGCCTATTTATTACTGAGTCATTGAATCATTCATTCAAGAGATTCGTTCAAAAACACTGATTCATCCAGACAGTAATGAAACAAGTATTTATGACTGAGTCATTGAATCATTCATTCAAGAGATTCTTCAAAAACACTGATTCATCTAGACGGTAATGAAACAAGTATTTATGACTGAGTCATTGAATCATTCATTCAAGAGATTCTTCAAAAACACTGATTCATCTAGAGTCCAGACTGTAATGAAACAAGTATTTATGACTGAGTCATTGAATCATTCATTCAAGAGATTCGTTCAAAAACACTGATTCATCCAGACAGTAATGAAACAAGTATTTATGACCGAGTCATTGAATCATTCATTCAAGAGATTCTTCAAAAACACTGATTCATCCAGACGGTAATGAAACAAGTATTTATGACTGAGTCATTGAATCATTCATTCAAGAGATTCTTCAAAAACACTGATTCATCTAGAGTCCAGACTGTAATGAAACAAGTATTTATGACTGAGTCATTGAATCATTCATTCAAGAGATTCGTTCAAAAACACTGATTCATCCAGACAGTAATGAAACAAGTATTTATGACCGAGTCATTGAATCATTCATTCAAGAGATTCGTTCAAAAACACTGATTCATCCAGACAGTAATGAAACAAGTATTTATGACTGAGTCATTGAATCATTCATTCAAGAGATTCTTCAAAAACACTGATTCATCCGGACGGTAATGAAACAAGTATTTATGACCGAGTCATTGAATCATTCATTCAAGAGATTCTTCAAAAACACTGATTCATCCAGACAGTAATGAAACAAGTATTTATGACTGAGTCATTGAATCATTCATTCAAGAGATTCGTTCAAAAACACTGATTCATCCAGACAGTAATGAAACAAGTATTTATGACCGAGTCATTGAATCATTCATTCAAGAGATTCGTTCAAAAACACTGATTCATCCAGACAGTAATGAAACAAGTATTTATGACCGAGTCATTGAATCATTCATTCAAGAGATTCGTTCAAAAACACTGATTCATCCAGACAGTAATGAAACAAGTATTTATGACCGAGTCATTGAATCATTCATTCAAGAGATTCTTCAAAAACACTGATTCATCTAGACAGTAATGAAACAAGTATTTATGACCGAGTCATTGAATCATTCATTCAAGAGATTGGTTCAAAAACACTGATTCATCCAGACAGTAATGAAACAAGTATTTATGACCGAGTCATTGAATCATTCATTCAAGAGATTCGTTCAAAAACACTGATTCATCTAGACAGTAATGAAACAAGTATTTATGACCGAGTCATTGAATCATTCATTCAAGAGATTCGTTCAAAAACACTGATTCATCTAGACAGTAATGAAACAAGTATTTATGACCGAGTCATTGAATCATTCATTCAAGAGATTCGTTCAAAAACACTGATTCATCTAGACAGTAATGAAACAAGTATTTATGACCGAGTCATTGAATCATTCATTCAAGAGATTCGTTCAAAAACACTGATTCATCCAGACTGTAATGAAACAAGTATTTATGACTGAGTCATTGATTCATTCATTCAAAACGATTTTTAAAAAATAACTATTTCAAATGAATTTACAAGCAATTAAAATTTTGTCAGAACCTCTCCTAAATTACATGTTTGTTTAATTGTCTGTTTAAAATTGTGGGAGAATCGTGATCTCCTCTATTAATAATAAATTTAAATAAACGTGATTCTCAATTTATCCAGAATCGTGCAGCTCTACTACTCACACACAATTAAATAACATTTTCATAGTAAATAAGTAATAACATATTATTATTAAACTTTCAGCATAAGTTTTGACCAAATACATACTGTACATACATACTGTACACGTCTCATCTCTTTGAAAAACAAGTATATTACTTTAATAGCAGGCAGACTTGTTATGGTGGTGGTGGTAATTATGGACAAATAAGTTAGTTTTAATAAAAATCAACTCATCTGACATACAGCAGTGGCCAAAAGTGATGTCCGGACTAGAAAAATGGACATCTTCATCCTTTATTCAAATATATAAAAAATGTGTTAATGATTTTGTAAGCATATTGCATAGTTGTGCTTGGAGTCAATTGTTTTATATGTGATAACGCAATGAAAACATGCCAAATTGTATGGACATCATTTTTGGTAACACTTTATTAGTACATGTACTACTATAGTAACAACAAAAAAGTAAATCATGGATAATTACAACTCACCCTAACCATACCTCAAGTCTATAGTAAGTACATGTAGTTAATTCATGTTACTCAATACTTATTTGAGTAAGTACAATAACTATGTCACCTTAAAATAAAGTGTAACCTAGTTTTTAATGCAAAACTGATTATGTTGTAGTCAATGCATGCTTTTTCCTGAGAGCTTTTTGTTTTTCTTTAGATTTTTTTTTTTGCATAGTAAAATTAAACCTGTAATGTAGTTTGTCACATAAATACCTCAACCAAGTTTAATGTTTTGTTATTCCCTCAAATTTAAAAAATATTAAATATTTTCCTCATATTTGGATGGTACTTGAACTTATAGGGACATTAAAAGCAATGACATCACTTTTGGCTCATACTGTACACGTGCCTGTCACTGTAAAAAAAAAAAAAAGCCCGGATTTTTATGAATTTTACTGATAAACCCTTTGATGAAATGAATGAATGAATGACACACTGTACCTTGAGACGAAACTTGAGCTTCTTTGCTGGCTCAATGAGGAACTGAAGGCAATCTTTCATCATATCGGCAGGCTGACGTGACCCTGTTAGAAACCTGAAAGTAACGGAGTGTAGAATACAGCAAGAGAGGAAAAGAGAGATTTGAGATGTTTAGGATCTGATGATGTAAATGAGGGAGTGTAGCAGCTGAGACAGATGGGAGGGGTTTGTAAAAAAGCCTTTTTCTCAGAACTCAGCAAACTCAACAGACTCAACCTGCAACGACGCAATATTTTTTGATCACTCTGCGGCTCTGCTCTGTTTAGCTCGTTCCGACAGTGGGTCCTGCAGGTCCAGAGAGACCCGCGGAAGCAGCGAGAGCACTTTTAATGGAAGCTCGGGGACAGAGTGGGATGCGGTTGTGCCGAATCAGCACGTCTTCTCAGCGTTTCTCCAGCACACCCACACAACCTGCCAAAGCACCTCAACTCCCAGCCCGTTCCCAAATCTTCAGAAACCAAATGTTCAAAAGCAGCTTATAATATACACGCAACATAGCCCAAATGTCTGAGACAACTAGTGAAATGGCTTCTATTTCAAATTTCTCTAATTTAAGACTTCATTTCTTCCATTACAAATGATATAAACAGCATGCCAATTTGAGTGCAAAAAATACACATACATTTCATGATGTCTTAGAATTTGGTTTGTCTTTTGCTTTAATGACAGAAACGTGATGATTATGTTATTTAGCATGATTTGAGAATGATCTAATTTGTTTACACTTGATTAGTAACCTAGAAATAGAGCAATATAATACATATTTCTTCATAATGTTGTCATAATATTTCTTTGTTTTAAAGTTGGCATGAAACAGAATTTGAGATATCTTTTCTTCCCTATTGTGAGTGACGTATATCAGAGTGAAACGACTTCTCAAACAATTGATTGGATGGTTGGATGTTTGTGGTTTGCTATTGGTTGTTCTCATGTGAGTGACAGGTTGATCCCACCCTCGTGCCACTAACCACGTCTGGCGAGAAGAGAAGAGACGTCGCTGCAAGAGGGAGGGGAAGGTATTTTAATTAAAGATTATGAGGCACATGAATAAAAAATTAAAAATAAATGATGATTTACACAGATAAATCATTTAGATTTAAATTATGGAAGCTTGTTCCCACCACTAAATAAAAAAGGCAAATTTTTATCTCACAATTGTGAGTTTATATCTCGCAATTGTGAGAAAAAACTCCGAATTGTGAGATGTAAACGTCGCAATTATCTTTTTATTATTTTTATTATTATTTATTGCTTCCATAATAAATAGTGCAATGTTCCATAAAAAAAGAAAACGAAAAAATAATTTTGATTTTATGGTGACTTTAAAATGTACCACTTACTGTTTATTTCCAGGTTTAAAATGTCAATGTTCAGACTTCTGGACATCACTGTAACATGCATTTTTCAGATTAACTGTATTTTTTATTTATTTTTTGACAATAAGAATGAAGGAAGAATAAAACAGGCTTCCTATAAATTAAGAAGTTTGTACATTTACAAGATACACTGAGAAAAAAGCATTGACACTATACTGTATGTTTCACAAATACAGTAAAATTAGGCAAGGTCCTTCATTTTATGTTGTTTTGGCACATTAAAGCAATGTCACACAAGAGGAAAAAACCACTTCAGAGTACTCACATTTATTTATGATTAACTATACCTGTCGAATTGACATGATAAATGGAGTTTAAAGTCTGTAGCCTACATTTACATGGTGCACCGAGAACCACTTACATCCTTAGGGAGCCAATAACGCAACTCAGCCAGACTCTGATATAATTAATGATCAGCTACTCTGAACAATCATGTTCCTCTGGTGTGCAATATGCACTTGTTTTATTTAGGCTCTAATGAAGTTACTTTCATTTATTTATGATGAATTAAAACTGCTGACTTAGGCGAATGAACATGATTAATAAAAGAAGCCGAAAGTCCCTACATTTACAGTACATGGTGCCCTAAAAAATGCACTACATCAATCAGGGAACGGTCTCTGGAATTCACGCTCTGCTTCTGTAAACTGTAAACCCCGCCTACTTTGATTTGATTGGCCATCTCAATCATATTGTCATTGACGAGCGCTGTTAGACCGCTGAAGCAGACCAGACTAAAAATGTAACTTCTGAACCCTATTTGTCATTCTAACAACATACAGAGTGGTCCAATTTGGCCATTTCTAATTATTTAATTATTACAACAGCAACTCAGAACACTCAAGAAACCACGTAGCAACACCCTAGTAACCGCCTATAACACTCAACCACTTAAGCACTTGTTTTCAGCCTGGCAAAGTGTTGGCAGTATCACACCACGTGTCAGGTCGGGAATAGAGACAGATTATAGGTCTTGACAGATTCGGACACACAAACCACGTGAACGAACACAAGGAGCCACTGATCCTTTAAGCGAATTAAACCAGGAACCCTGCGTGTAATGTGAGTGTGAGTGTGTGCTGTTGGATGAAGGTTAAAAAGCTGCTAAAGGCAGACACTTTCATTGTCATTAAAAGGGAAATATCACTTATTTGCGTTTTATTAATACAAATAAGTGTTCTTTTATATAATAATAATAATAATTTAGGTTACATCTTCTTTTAAGGTGTCGTATTTACATTGTACTTACTTCCTCAATTAAGTACCGGTAGCCTACTGAGCAAGCTATTAATTAACTACATGCACTGACTATAGAGTTACGGTTAGGGTTTGGTTTAGTTAGCCTACTTGCAATTATGCATGATTTACTGTTATTGCTATAAGTACAATACAATAACGTGTTACCATAATTTATTATAATTTTTATCATTATAACCGTTTTGGCATCTCATTTATCAATACGACGTCAGGGCATTTAGAAAAACGAAATAATATAAAAACTCATTCATTTCTTATGTTTCTTTATGAAAGCATAAAATAAATGAAGACGTCATAATTCTCTTCAAACTCAGAGAAGCGCAATGCAGTCATAATTTTACGCAGGTCCTCCTATATAAAATGCATTAAATATAACAGAAGCACCGCTGCTAATGACAGAAGTTGTACTAAGATGAAAGTCACGTACCTTTCTGTGTAACCTTTCGAAATATCCTCAGAAAGTTTTTCTACAACACAACCTCATTTCATGTTTGAGCATCTCGAATGGCCTCGCCTCAGCAGTCAGGATTGGAGTGTGCTGTATCTCGTGGTGACCAATAGGCGCTCGCGTCTTTTTGGTACTTTAGCAAAAGCCTTGTTCATCGATCGTGTATTTCCGTAAAGTTTCCGAACGAAGCCGAAGGACTCCTCGTATATTTTCGTAACATTACCGAACTAGGGCGAGTGCCATGGAGAGCCTTTTCTGGCCTTGCTATTTAAAAGACATCCAGCAGAGGGCGCGGTTGTTTAGCATTTCTGATCCCATTTGCTCTTATACATTCGACGCATGTCCTAAGTTGAAAAATGTACTTTATTTATTAAATACATACATAATCTTATATGTGACATTGATATTCAATTCATCTTACACTTTTTAAATTACGTAAATAATTATTATATTTTATAGTACCTTAAATTTGAACCTCTACTACATTTCTACTTTGCTATTGATGTTATTTATTGCATATTTTCATATTGTTCTGCATTAATAAATGAAAACAAAACTTTACTCAGTAAATAACCTGGCTGTAGCTTTAGCTATCCTTCAAAAACAGATCAAACTTAAAATACAAAATTTTATTGAAAATAGAAAGGACAAAAAATATAGATAAACATAAATGCTGTTATGCACATGAGAAAAACAAAAAAGCATTATCTCATTAACAGCTGAAAATTAATGCCCTATAAAGGTCACTTTTAAATCTTTTCAGTTTTCATACAAAAGGGTAAAATAAAAAACCTCTGAACAAAACTTATTTGATGTCTATAACAACATAAAACAAATGGAGCTTCAATATTTGATCTTGCATAGATTTGATTAGTTAGAAATAAGCAGTTATTATTTGTTTCAAAAACAGTGTGAAAATCACAATATCCCCAAATGAATCATAAACATCTAAAGCTACATGACCAGAATTCTTGCATATTTGTACAAATTTGCATAGTGTACCACTGGCACTGTTTTTACTATCACTACTGAATTTATAATTCCAGTTTCGCTTTGTGATTTAAAATTCCAAATATTATCTTCTTTCACAGAGGCAGTCAGTTGTTTAAAAAAAGGTGTTCCGGCACACCTCGGAAATGAGAACTTTCATGGTTTCTGACTTGAAAACAAGCAGTGACCAACAGTTACACCTTGACAATTACAAGCATTCACAGTAAAACACACTTAACTCACCTACAGTCATACACAAGGACACTGACTGTATTGATGTCAATGCAGGTGCAAATTACTCAGTCGAAAAGGATTGTCCAAAGTACATTTCTTTTGCAACAAACTCATGCACCGCTGTAATCAGCTGACCTTGAGGTTAGAACTCACAACCACACCCAAATCACACACACACACACACACACACACACACACACACACAAACAAACAACAGAATGACAATATCTCAATGCTTTATGGCATTTTACAGGCTATATGAAGTCAAGCAGATGTTTCCAGTGAAAGAACATGTTCCAGGAAATGGAAAGACTTTGAAAGGACCTCGTTTCCAAGGCAACCATCTTTAGGGCTCAGGTTAATCATAAAAGCACCGGGTGAAGCCAATGTTACAGCAGTTTAGGATTCGGGCAGCTTTGGTCACACAGTCATTTAAAGGCTTCGTCATGGCAGCCCATGATTAATTAAATGCAAAAATGTGGAAAAAGGAGAGCATTGGTAGCTTATTACTGACCGCGGTCGTAGATCTTAACTATTCGTTTAATATGGAAAAGCTTGTGGCGCAGTTTGCGACATTGGTGCTTCTTGTTTTGATAATCTGGCATCTAAGCAGAGAGAATAAAGGAAAGAGAGCCTCATATTAACATCAAAAAAGCAGAGCATCTATTACTATGAATGCGAATGTTTAGTCATTCTTTAGTTTTATGATCAAGACTCACCCGTTTTAGGTCTTTCAGACGATTATATTCCTCTGCTACAGCCTATAACGTGAGAGAAAAAAGAAAGTCATGCATTTGAACAACAGGGAGTTGAACTTTTAATCCAAAATGTTTCAGTCACTCACCTCGTACTTGGACGTTCCCTCATCAAGTGTGTCCAGCTCTCTGCTGAGCTTGTTTATCTGATCGCTGATGTCATCCATTTCGGCACACAGTTCCTTATAGGTCCTGAGGTCCGAGTCAAACTCTTTCTTATACTCGTGTCGCTGGGCATCAGACGTGATCTCTGGATACAGACTGATTGGGAATGAAACAGAAGGCAGTTAACATGGATGTTGTGATGTTACTTGCTGCCACTTATGGAACATGTATATTTAGCTTTAATGCAGAAAACGATAAAGGGGATCACTAGTCATTTGGTAGTTATTTAATAAACATTTATCCAAAGAAATGTTATCCACTTTTTTTTTAACAACAATCCCTTTGGAGCGACCTAGAGTTAAGCATTTTGATCATCAAGGCAACAATGATGGTATTTAATGGATTAACTGCTGTGGAGTTTGAGCTGACAGCCTTTTATTTGCCACAACGCAGAAAAACACCCACCATTAACAGAGTAAAGGAGCACACATTTACCCTTGCTCAGAGACATTTTGCTAATGTGAACTATCAACATTCGCCAAAATTTCACTAATATTGTTAAAAGCGCTATATAAATGAATGTGACTTAATGTAAAATACTAACATTCACCGAAATTTGGCTAGTGTGAAATACTACCATTCACTGATATTCAGCTTTTGTAAAATTCTACCATTTTACAAGATTTTGCTAAAGTGAAATATCAACATTCAAAGAAATTTCTCTAATCTGAAATATAATTTTGCTTTTGTAAAATTCCACCAATCCCAGACAATTTTGCTTATGTAAAATATCACCATTCGCCAAATTCGCCAATGTGAAATTCTGCTATTCGCCAAAATTTCACTTTGTAAAATTTCACCATTAACCAAAATTTCACTTTTGTAAAATTCCACTATTTGCAGAAATTTAGGTAATGTGACATATTTCGCTAAAGTGAAATACCACCATTGGCAGAAATGTTGCTAATATGAAATATCAGTATTTGCTGAAATTGCGCAAATTTACTCTCTGAGTAATGTGGCCACCCAAACTTTCAACTCTATATTCTTTATTTGTGTAAAAAGAAAAAAGGAAATAAAAAGCAAACTAGTGAGAAAATATGTCTAGAATTAGTTATAATGCAGTGAATACAAGTATTTTATATTGGGTAACACTCTACAAAAAAGGTTTTTATTTATTAACATTAGTTAACATGAACTAACAATGACATTTAGTAATCTTAGTTCATGTTAATCTCAACATTCAGCACTCAACACTCAGTTGTATCTGTTACCATCAGTGAACTAAAATGAACATTAAACTTACATTAACAAATGTCAATAAATGCTGTAAAATGTATCATTAAAACAAATGAGACCATAGGTTTATTGTTTGCTAAGATATTTTCCTTTCATGGTCCAACATGGTCTGTTTTTTTTTTCAAACCAAACAACACATGTAAACATGCACACGTTTGCAACAGCCTTTGACCCTATAACCCAAAATTAGTCTATTATGTTAGCATGTGGACATGCGTGGCAGAGATGATTCTCTCCTAAAGACTTCCATGCAGTGTCCAAGGGAATGCATTACTAAAACTGAGCCTACAACAACTCCTCACCGTGCCCATAGATCCTCATCAAAATCGTTGGCCGTCTCTCCTCCCGTCGTGTACTCGGTCTCGTACTGGGACTCGTCCAGCTCAGGGTTCCTCCTGCGTCTCTTGCCCCTGGAGGCGGACGGTTTGCGGATGGTGTCGGTCTGGTCGGAGGGGCTGGAGCTCACTTCTCCTGACGGGGATGTAGAGTGAGATGGGTGGCTGAAAGAGCGCTCAGGGTAACTGTGGGAGGAAAAAACAACGTTACTACTGTATCCGAACAGAGAATCAAGGCAAGAATCAAAATATTCTTCAGAATACTGTATGACAATCTGAAGAAAGGGGTTTTAAAACTGTGTAGTTATAAGGAAATTAATGAGCTGAACGAGGAAATGCATATCAGGACAATATTAATGAGAAGGTTTTTAAAAAAAAATCTTTTTTTTTCATATTTAGGCTACTATACCCTGTTTTTAAATATAGCATTAACAGAAACCTGTTGGCAATATTGTAGTAAAATATTATTTGCTCAATTTATAAGCATTTCAAATATTGAGGAATTCTTTAAATGGCCTCATAAATTAGTGTTCGTGAGGACATTTTAGAAAACATGGCCCTCACAAGTATAGCCAACCCAGTATTTAGCAAAATAGCTTTTATTATTGTACCTCATTGTGATTTTTTTTAGCTTGTTTTCCAATAAATGTTGACTATTTAAAGAAATGAAGAGCCAATCATCTTTTACAGAGACATTGCCTGTTTGTTAAATCTTAACAGGGACTTTGCCAACACTGTCAGTGTCTATAGAAAAAGGATATGAATTCATTCATTTATATTGAATCAATACCATAAAAGCTCATAGAGCCACGAAGAGAAAGACAGAGGCAGACATAGAGGCAGAGACTTAATTTAAAAACAAATTATAGTGAAAGAACATCTGATTAAAAAATGCAGCTAGTTTGATCTCAGGCCAAGACACGTCATATCTGGTGTAATCTAACCTGACTTCATGAAACTAATGGCCCAGACCATTAGCCAGACTAATGGGCAAGATAACTAATTTAAAAGCGAAAAAAAGAAGTGTGAAGTCCGCACACTGAAAAAGCTGCTCCAAAGAATTTATTAGCTAGGCAACGTTTCGACCATCAGGTCTTCATCAGGCACAATAAGGAAAACTAATTTAAAAGCACAATAGCACTGCTGACCTAACTTCATCTAGCAAAAGTCACAAAAAAAGTCTAAAAATACCACAGCACAGGCTAGTTTGACTCGGTAGTAAGTGTACACTATCGTTCCAAAGTTTGGGCTCTTTAGCAGCAAACCAGCAGACATAGATTTCTGAAGGATTTCTGTGAAATCCTTTGATAAATTTCAATGATTTCTGAAGGATCATGTGACACTGAAGACTGGAGTAATGATGCTGAAAATTCAGCTAAATTCTAATAACATTATCTTATCTAATAACTTAAGCCCTGACCATGAGACTTCTTTCAAAAACATTTTTTCAAAACCGTACAGACCCCAAACGTTTGATCAGCAGTGTATGAAAAACTGGAATGCAATTTCAAATGACTTTAACCTTTAAATGGGCAAGAGTGGAAAATGATCAGCAAAAATATCATTTCATGTCACTTTTTTATATCATCTGGACTTTTTGAAATGTTTGATATAATTTGGATTTTATGAGATGTATCTCCCAGGATACGTTGCCCTATTAGAGTATAAAAAAGTCAAAATCATCAATATTTCTATGATTTATTTGATGCAAAAAAATATGTAATATGCAAAATATACTGCATGTATGACACGTCTAAGCGTCCTAAAATTACGGCATACACATTTCTTGTATGTTTAGCTCCATCCCTAATCAATCATATAATGTAATTAATTGATGATACAACATAGAATTTTCTAAGTAATCCTGAAGACATCATCTACCATGTTCGAGAGAAAAGAAGATAGAAAAGAGGAGAGCAGTCAGGAGGAAAGTGATGACGACAGCTGGTGAGTGTGCCGAGTGTGAGTGCCAAGCAGCATGTAGGTGCTCCCTCGAGAACCAGACCAAAAAAAGTGACGTGCACCCCTGGCAATAATACAATAACACAGTAATAATACACAATAATACACAGGGGGCCCAGTTTATCTTGAGACACCACTCATTGTCAATACTGTGGATAATCCTTTTTTCTTACCCTAATCTGACTACGTAATCTCATACAGACTCAAAATGAAGTAAATAACATAAGGAGTAACATATGGCTTAATTTTCTTTTTCAACAAAGACAATGTTTTGCATTTTTTGCTTAAGATAGATTAATATATGCCTACTTTCTACAAAGTCAGAATATCCAGAAAGCGTGTTGGCTTTAGGTCATACTGATAAAACGAGAAATGATTTGAACCAAGTCATGTGAGCCACATGCTCCAAACAGACTCAACTATGATAAGGATAACAGAATTGGATTAAAGATTTTTTCTCGTGCCTCCTCCAAGAGAATAAATAGTATGTATCCCGTGGTACATGTTGTTTAAGGGTTAAGCAATAAAGTTAGCGCCGAAATTTCCTTAGCAGGGTCATGCAATATTGCCTGTTTACATGGAGCTCAGCATTAAATTCTCCAGCTAGGCCAGGGCCGGCCCGGATCACTCACTCACTCACCCGATAATATTGTGGGTCTCAGAGCTAAAGACACTGCCAGTCTTTAAGGGGATGGAGCCGACACTGGGGGCAGAAACCAGAACAGGAGCCATCTTCTCTGAAAACACCATGGACGCCTCCCGCACGCTCTGTCCATCCTGTACACGGTTGACCTAAAAAAGGAACAAACTTCCTGTTTAGTACAAAGTCTGCAAACTTCGATACATATCTGAACAGAGAGTCTGACGTGCGTAAAATCAGGAAGCAACATTTTTTAGATAATGACAGGCAAAAGGTCTGCGTTTTTCAGCATTAAGATTGTTTAAGATTAACAGGAATATTTGATAGTGGCTAAATAAAATAAATAAATAAAGATCAGTTTTATTTATAGCTTAATCTTCAGCATCTTTACTAGAGTATTCAGTGTCACATGATCCTTCAGAAATCATTCTAATGTTCTGATTTCGTATTATTATCATTGTTGAAAACTGCTTAATATTTTTGTGGTAAACATGATGCATTTATTTTTGGATTCTTTGATGTATAAAGTTCAAAAGAAAAGCATTTGAAATAGAAATCTTTTGTAACATTATTAAGGAGGTTTGGAAAAGTTACTTAAAATAAATACATAAAGATCATTTATGCCTACCTATGTTATGTATATTGCTATAATGTAATACTAAATTATTCAATCATAAATCTGTCTTGAATGCAGTTTTTTTAAACGGAATTCTGAGCAGAACATTACAAACACAGAAACCATTTTGGATCCATTGTTTAGACTTTATTTTCCTTCTGCTAACGTACAGGAAAGTCCGCAGCGAATAAGAAGCAAAAGTGCTTCCTGTTTAAGTTTGATTTCAGAGGATGTTCTCGGCATGTAAGTTTTGTGACAAACACACAATGCCAATTATAGTTATGACGTCTGGTACAATATGAGTGTCAAAAAAACTCCCTATTTATAATATTTGTTTCTAAAATGCAGGGGTGTAAAAAGGAGTGGCCATGTGAATATAAGGGAAAACTATGCCGAGCATGTACACGGCTATAACAATGAAAGCAGGTGTATGTGTCGGGGGGATTGTTTGTCTTGTTCTGGAGAGGTTGTATGTGAATGTACGTGTGTGTGTTCGGAGGGAAGACGCAGCAGGAAAGAGGGTGGAGGAGCGTTTCCTTGCAGCTGGGGAGAATGGGAAAAGCCACTGTATAGAAGAGCCCAAGTCATCCAGGAATTCCAACAATGCTTTCCCTGCATGAGCTTCTGCAACCACTGATCCGTGATCACGCTACATAAGCAGGGAAAGAATGCTTGAGAACAAAAAAGAGGGTCGTTTCATGCCCGTGACCTCCTTTTGCACCAGAAAAAAGGTGAAGGAGAGATAGAAAGGCAAGGAGAGAAAGGTATTCAAAGGGAGTGTGTGGAACGCTGTCAGAGTTCATAGATCTACTGAAAGCACCAGGGCAGAGAGAGAGGCAGACCAGTCTCAAGATTGTAGTAATTATGTTTCCAATGGACTTAATCCAAAATCAAACTGCACCCTACGGAGCCTCTACTAGCAGCTACAGGTTCATTAACAACCTGCAGACTGGACGAAAGATTTATTGCTTAGAAGTTGCTCATTTATAGCTCAGGAGGATTTTCAGTTATAGCACGTAGCAACTTTGTCTTAGACATTTCTCCTAAAATTCCCAGAAGTAAAATAGAAACAAATGAGGCCATTTTAACCTGCATTAAAAGTACAGAGCTTTAGAATTATGGATGGTTTTGGAAATGTAATCAGAAAAGTTTATACTGAGATCTCAGACTTTGGTATCTTGGTAAATCTGAGCAGTGAGAACAGTGTGATCTCTTCTGAAATGCTAAAGGAGACATTTTTCTAGGGTCTCGGGAGACAATCTGAGTAGCCATTAGCTCTCCATTTAATCTGTCTAGGAAAAACAATTAAAGAGGCCACATTACGCCCTTTACTAGAGTCTAGACTAGGTACTAGGGTCTACTAGAATAGGTTTTCATGCTTAAATGTTATATTTGACATTGTTGCAGCACTCTTCCTCTGGGCTGTGTTTGTCAAAAGCATCGTGAGCTAAGTTGATCGTAGACACCATTGGTGGCAAAGTTTCTACTATCTACTTAGGGTTTGTTTTACCTAACAACGATGTACTAAAAGCAGAGAATTTTTCCTTCGCGTTTTCAGCAAAGGACGACAAGGTTGTCCAAACAATCCCTGTTCACACAAATCTGCGAAAACGACTAAAAACACTGTATTATTCATGCCAGGCCAGTAGTTGGCGATGTCACTTTGTAAAAACACTACGCACCTATAGACTGAACACGTAATGTGCATGATGTCACCGCTTTCATACATTTGCGTTTTTGTAGTTTATACAAAGACAATAACAGTATCGTTATCAAAAACTTGCACTTTGAATCTCGTTTTCAAAATTTAGCATTTTCAGGCCCCCAAAACGCTGTTGTTGTGTAAATGAACGGCCATAATTCATAAAAAGTTTTCCGTTTTTAACGTAACCTTAGGCTTACAATGCTTTTGGGAAACACATCCCTGTTTATTTCCTGTCTCTATGAAGCCCCGTCTTCCGGAAAGCACACTGTGTTCTGAACCAGTGTGTTGTGATTGGTCAACCGCTTCGAATGTTTTTCTGAAATGTCACGCCCCTTGACCCAACGTGTTAAAACATATAGGGGTCATTGAAGCCAATAGTTTAAGGGACCATTTCTTTGTTAAAGCCTTACTTTCCAGTTACAGTAGACTAAAGTCTAGCTATCCTTGAGAGAAGGAACGCATTATCTTGATGTTTTGAGACGACTCTCCTGTTTATAGTTAGAGCCTGGCCTAATCCAACCTTGGAAAAGCTGTGTCGGTGTGTGTGATAGTCTTATTGGTTGCAGGTTGAGGAACCACTGGCATTATGGGAGATTGACTGAGTTGTTTTCTTCGACATGTTGGCGCCCAGCAACCCAAATCTGTGACCTGGAAGGTCATGACGTGCCTAAACTTCAGGGTCTGAGTGTCATCTGCATAATCTATGGAGAGATGCTTCAGTCTATCTGTATTGTGAGGAATATTACTTAGACTATATGTGTTCTTAGCCAATCAGATACTGCAACCTGAAGCAAGGACGTAGCTTAGACCTTGGTGAATGGTATAATTGCTGTGATCTTTGTCACTGTAAGGGGGGCGGGCCTACGAACTCCTGTGTGAGTCTTGAAGCTGACTTCTGCTGATGAAACTGCAAACTATCTTCAGTAAATCTTTTCTTTAATTTATTATAATTCTGACTCCGGGTCTTCATTCTTCATATCTGGTTCTGGGTCTTTAACTGTTTACCCCTAACACTATGTAAATGAGTATTCATCTAATTTCAGAAATCTTTGGCGAAAAAAAAATGGCAAAAAAATTTGTTAAAATAGATGTAGATGAATAAATCTGTTTTTGTTAAGTTTTAGCTACTTTCTATCTATTATTTTTCATCCATTTTAAATATTTTTATAAATATGTTTTCAATCTAGATAGATTGACAATCTTAAAATACATTTTGGGTAAATGCAATGTATGTCCCTGCTACTCCTTGAAGTATATTTTGTAATGTATTTCGGAATTTCAAGGTTTAATCGAAATATATTTTTAATTTGAAACTGCCACACTCTTTCAATATCTCCATCAATATTGACCATTAAAAACACTTCTAATAAAATGTGTGTATACTTCATCATTTTATTTATTCAATGAATTGTAAACAAATATACTTATTCAAGTATGCTTCCAAACCGTCTGGGTATTACAAAAGTTGAACAGTTCACAGTCCCAAGAAGTTAAAAGCTACTCGACTCTTTCAGTTTGGTTAATGATCAATCACAGCGAAACTAGGCTGGCCATTAACAAACAGACCGTATCAGCGATTCATTCAACCTTGTGACTGAATTATCACCAGTGTCACACAGGCCATTGAAACTATTAAAGGCTTCAAAACATCCTTAAACCGATCCCATGCCTAAACAAAAGGTCTTGATTAACTATCACAAACAATTTAGCAGAATTAAACCGCTTGTCCTATGTATGGTCACAGGGATGCTGGAGCTTGGATGCTGGATAACTTGCACATTGAAATGTATTGGAATACTGTTTGCTTTAAGTTTAGAGACTAGCAATAAGCCTGACACTGGCCTTTCATTTTCATCAGCTTAGGCAAGACACTTCATGCCACTTTGATCTGGGTGTGCCATTTAATTAGTGACCATGTGATTCTTCTTTCATGCAGCACGACTCAGCCTAGAAGACTAAGTGGTAATATGGAAACTCACCCAATCCTCCACATCTCTGCCCTCGGTTCCTCCCATCAGTGGTCGGTCCCAGTAGATGTTTGGCTTCCCGTAGTGCCAGATTTTACTTCTGGTTCTATAGGAGAAGAAGGCTGCCACAGCCAGTGCCAACACAACCATGAACCCACAAACCATTGCAACTGCCTGAGAAAGATGAAATTGTATCGTTAAGTCCAATGCATACAGAAATGTTTTTATCATACTGAGCTAAAATAATGGTAACACTTTACAATAAGGTTTCATTTGTTAACATAAGTCAATGTATTAACTAACATGAACTAACCATGAGCAATACATTTGTTACTGTATTTGTTCATCTTTGTTAACGTTAGTTAATAAAAATACAGTTGATCATTGTTTGATCATGTTAGTTCACAGTGCATTAGCTAATGTTAAAATACAACTTTTGATTTTAATAATGTTATTAGTAAATGTTGAAATTAACATTAACAAAGATTAATAAATTCTGTAGAAGTGCTGTTCATTATTAGTTAATGTTAACTAATAAAACCTTATTGTAAAGTGTTATCATAATAATTTAGTATACTACAAGTATTATCTTAATAATCATCTCCCTCTTATAATTAAATATTCTATATTAAAATGAAAGTTCTGGGTTATTAACAACTACATATTATACTCTTCACTGATTTTTTTTTTCTTAGCTTCCAAAAATTAAAATTAACAGAAAAAGTGTTTACAGTAATGCACTCACAATGGAATCCCAATTCATATTTTTAAAGCATTTGGATTAAATTTTCCATTAAAATGTACATTTTATTTATTTGAGGCGTAACTGTTCTCAAACAAAATAGTTGTTTTGATGAAAGACTACTTTTATTTATGGTTTTACTTACGAAATACACTGCATTTTTTTTTATCCTGTGCTAAATTAAACAACTTAATTGTTTTAAGAAAGAAATCTATTTATTAATTTAATTAATTCTATATATTCCATTTTGTATCATTAAAGAATAGTTCACACAAAAAGAAAAATGTTGTCATCAATTACTCACCAATGTCATTCCAAATGCATTATACTTTCATTTTGCAAACAATTGAGCTTCTGTTTACCATATCTGATGTGCTCTATGTATGTGCGTTGATCAATGTTTTTATGTGAATAAAATCCTAAATTAACTGTTCATCATATAAAGAGATCGTATCTCTTCAGAAGACTTGGATTAAAGCGCTCGATTCATATGGATTTCTTTCGTCAGAGACAGAGTTTTGTTTACATGGACTTTCAAATCTGGCAGGTTTCATTAAAAATATCTTCATTTCTGTTTTGAAGATGAACAAAAGTCTTATGGGTTTAGAACGACATGAGGGTAAATAAATGATGCCAGAAATACTATTTAACATCACTAAATCAACCTAAATACACTGAGAAAAAAATGTAGAAGTACTTTTCACAAATTGCAAGTACATTTCACAATTAATTAAAGAATCGGCGAATAGCATTGAATTAAACATGACATTTTTAAGTAGAAAGACTGAAACTTCGAACTTTGAAAAATATTTTTTTACAGTCTACTACACATTGCTCTTCAAAATGCAATGTTAGGGTTAGATCAGGCTTCCATTGTAGGTGTACATGCACTTCCTGCCAGATTCTACACAATAAGGGACAAGTTATGGTCTGTTGTAATCCTTTGATTGTAGACTATAAAGAAAACACAAATTAAATAAAGACATTTCCAAACATCCTGTAACTTTAAATGGTACCTCCTGAGGGTCCACGTAGCAGTAGTGGTACAAGTACTGGTTATAGACAGGAAAGCCGGCCCCCATTCCCGTCACACTGCTTCCGTAGAGGTTCTGACACATCATAAGCATGGGGTTGTAGTATGAGCTGGTGGAGCTTTGGGCCATTGGGTTCACTCCTACAATGTACACAATGTTTATAATGCCCTGAATCACTGCCATTATGGAACCGACAATAAGCACCACCAGAAAGAACTTCCTGCTCCGGAACGTGTTTGTTTTGGAGAAGCTGGCTGCAAAGAATCCCAAAGCGATGATGAAGTTTATGGCAGCGACGGCGATCATGCTGGTCTTTGCCGAGTAAGGGGTCGGGTAAGAATTGTAGCTTCCGTAACCATATCCACCACTTCCATATCCACCACTTCCATACCCACCACTTCCATATCCACCACTTCCATATCCGTAGCCTCCGTATCCGTACCCGCTTCCATATCCAGATCCGTAACCTACTCCGTACTGCATGTCCCAAACCAGAGTCGAGGCCACGCAGGCGAAGATTCCTAGACAGAGGATTATAACTATCCCCATCATAATCTTTACAATTCCCGGAGGGGAGAACCACTTGTAGAAATGCTGTGGTACCTCCTCGCCAATATAGTAGGATCCTGGAGGTGGAGGGTAGGGATCAAATTCACTCCGTGGGTCATGGAAGCTACCCGGAGGCCCAAAGCCATTGGAAGGGGGAGTGTACATCGGGGGACTATCGTAGGGTTGTTTCTCAAACATCTCTCAATGATGACCTTGCTAAAAGAAGCAATTGAATATGTCAATATGAATAGCATCACTCAGGTATTGCAAGCAAACAGAAAATGTATTAGGTTATTCATTTACTGTTTAAGACAAAAAACACCATAAAAGGCCCAATTCAAACAATGCACTATATTCCAGTCTAAGGCATACAATAGCTTCGTGTAAGGATGGAACAGATTGAAATTTAAGTAATAATTAACTGAAAAGAGTCCATGGAAACTCCTTAAAAAATGAATAGAAATAAATAAACAAATAATAAATAAATAATTTTATAATATCTGACAACTTAAATTATATCTAATTATATTATTATTTTATAAATTATATGAAATTACATTACACAAGAATGTATTAAAGTTTGGGGCCAGTTTTTAAAATGTTTTTTTTTTTTTTATGCTTACCAAGGCTGCATTTATTTGACCAATAATACAGTAAAAACTGCAATATTGTTTAATGTTATTACAATTTAAAATAACTGTTTTCAATTTAAATATATATTAAAATGTAATTCATTCCTGTGATGCAAAGTTGAATTTTCAGCATCATTACTCCAGTCTTCAGTGTCACATGATCCTTCAGAAATCATTCTGGTATGATGATTTGCTCAAGAAACATTTCTTGTTAAAACATTTGTGCTGTTCAAAAGAACAATTTATTCGACAGAAATGTTTTGTAACATTATAACATTGATCAAAGTAATGCTGAATATAATATATCATCCTTGCTGAATATAATTATTATTATTATTGACAGAAATGACAGACATGGCCACTATGGACAGTAATTATCCTTTTGTGTACTCTGGAAAAAATTACACATTTTGTTTCAAACCCGTATGCGGTTATTTGTGAGTAAACAATGACAGAATTATCGTTTATAGGTGAACTGTCCCTTTAAATGTCTTTGGTCAGCACGTCGTCAGTGACATCAATTAATGGAGAGGCCAAAATGACGTTATCCAAAACCACAAGCCGTGAAATCACTGTGCTGTTTATCAGTGTGAGGTAACAACAGAGAGTAGAGTGGAGACATCGGCACCAGGGATCAGAGTCTGTCCACACAAAGCCACTGTTTACAGGCCCGACCGTGGGAGTTCAACTCAATCTCAGCCATTGTCCAGCACTGACTTTGAAATGCACAGATTTCAATTCCTGCCAAATATGCCGTTTGTTTAATTTCAAATCATATGGTCTAGGGATGAGGTCACAAACAGGGCAAAACTAGACAAACAGGACTTACAATATGTCTAATAATCAGAGGTTATATTATATTATGGTCGAATGTTAGTTGTAGTTTCATGTTACCATAGATAGATACATATTTCTAATTAAATACAGCACAATCTACAGTGAGATATTTTGCATTCGAAAAAATACTCTTACTCAAATACTCAGTTTTAATATGTAAATTCCTGAAAAATTCTTGCTATACCTTTTGATTTATTTGTAGATGTGATATGAAAGTCCTTGTATTGTTTTCTAAACGTATGCCTTATGTTATAAATTGTAATGTCATGATTTTACTGACTTCAATATAATATATTTATCATTTATTTAAATGGTTAGTTGACCCAAAAATTAAAGTTCTGTTATTAATTACTGACCTTCATGTCGTTCCAAATCCGTAAGACTTTCACGTTTCATCTTCGAAACACAAATGAAGATCTTTTTGATGAAATCTGAGAGCTTTCTGTCCCTCTATTGACAGCTACGCAACTGACACTTTGACGCTTCAAAAAGTTCATAAAAGTGGTAGTTGTGTAGCTGTCAATGAAGGGAGAGATCTCTCAGATTTCATCAAAAAGATCTTCATTTGGGTTTCGAAGATGAACGAAAGTCTTATGGGTTTGGAAAGACATGAAGGTGAGTATAATTAATAACAGAACTTTCAAAAGTCTTCTGTCTTAGTATCTACTGTAGTGTAGAAAACAACAGAAGAATGCATACAACACTTTCAGAACTTAGCAAAGGCAGATAAGCCATTTCGTTTGCCTGGTTACTATGTGTTCACCTACTACCCAGCCTCCCCCAACTTCTCTCCTTTGTTATAGCAAAAAGTCAAGGCTGCACTCTGTCTGCGCATGGTTACCATGGTAATAAAGGCCTGAGATAAAAAAAAAGAGAGGTTTGGAAAGAAAAACACAAGAGCTTCAGTGTCTGGGCCGCTCTGAGAGGGGGGTGCCTACGCAGGCACATACAGTTGTAAGGATCAGGTGTCCTCAAGAGAATCCTTTCTTATTTACCATCCCGGCACAGGTCTGATTTAATGAATCATTAATGAATCTTTTGAATGACCAACAACAGGTGAGAGGGTTAAATAAAGAGGATTTAAAAAAAAAAAAAAATTTAGGCTGAAACTGTGCGGTCTTAGCCTACATAAAAACTATAACAGTGCCATGGTAAAGTGGTTGTATATACAATGGTAAGTGCATGGTAGGCCTAGTACAAGTTTTTTTTTAATACTAACACATAACATGGCCAAAAAACATGGTATTACTGTAGAATGATACCATGGTATAAAAGTAAAAAACAACATGGTACATTCAAAAAAAGTATGGTATTACCATAATTTAATGCTCAAACCGAGTCAAACGTAATAGTACCATCGTATTTTTGAAGCAGATAATGATGTATGAACTCCAGACACAAAAAGTAGGAGCGAAGTTCACAAAATCTCTTATTGCTTCTCGTCGTGAAACTGCTGCATGTCTATAACACACTAATTATTTTCATTAATTTTAGACAACAGTTTTCTAATTTTATAAGAAGCTTTTATAAATAACTTTTATAAAATAGTTTTTATAAATAGCTAATCTAAATTAAAATCTAAACCATAAAGATAAATTTTTTAAGCATGTATGCCTATCTAAAATCTCAAATAAAGAAAGAAAAACATTGTTTACCTTTTTGAATCTGTCTTCTGATGAAAAGATATTATTATCCCAGATTATTCTTCTTCGTCTTCAAATTCAGTTCTTAGCTGCTGTTGACGTCTATAATATATATAAAAAAGTTGAGCAGGTGAAAGTAAAGGTGTTGGTCGAGAGTTCTCCTCTCTCGGTTAAATCTCTCTGGTCCACCTGCGCCTGCATGCAGTGAAGCACATCTTTATGTGTCTCTCTGTATCAGAGGTCTGATTGTTTGGACTCACCAGTCCTGAGCCCCCTGAAAAAGATGAGGGTGGAAATGCATGGACGGCTGTGAAAATAAACTTCCTTGAGAACAAGAAGTTTACTCGATATAATCTAGGGACTGTTAGTCAGACCAGGTTTAATTCCATTGGACAAAAGCTGCGAGGGCGGGTCAATCTTGTCATGAAGTATTTCAACATTTCCTCCTTATGGATTAAAACAACAACAACGACAACAACAACACCCAGTTTTAATTTTTAACTTGGATAGAAATTATCTTAGTTTTATATGATCACAAGTGAACAAAGTTATTATTTTTCTTAGATAATTTCACTGTTCGAGCAGGTGTTGTATTTTTCCCCCCACGTAGGCTAACGCGAAAATTATTATTTTTTAAACAAATATTCCATTCGTTTCTTTATTTTTTTTAAAAGTAGTTTGTTCCTTAATGATTTCACCTTCCAAGAAGTGAGCATTTGTTGAGCGAAAGCAAGTGCAAAACATCACAAAGAAAAAACATCAAAGTAGGATTTAATGAAAGAATCATGAACACATTATGTCCCGTCTGATAAAATTATAGAAACTGGTATGATATTATCAACAGTTCAAAAGTTAAATATAAAATAAATATCAAAATGTAGACTAAATTGACAGTCCAATGTAGGCTAAGATAATTCACTGCGCATGAACTTCAGCTGTTTATTTCCATCCCGTTCGACGCTATTCTATTCATTTTCTTTGACATTATGTAAATAATCAGGTATATAACTAATAAAGCGCGTGTTGGTGACGTTTGAGCGTGGTTTTGATGTTGAGAAGTAGGCTAAGCAGGTTACACGAGCGAATAGTTTAGTTTTCAAGTAACGTTACCGGTAGCCTACATTTTTAAAGAGCAATATTTCATAGCATAGAGCACATTAATAGCGCCCTCTTGCGCAGAATCGAAGGATGGCAGGAGAATAAAGCGAGGTGAGAAGTGAACAGTATTCTAAATACTTGTGCAAACAACCTATGAAATAAAGTGCTACAAATTATAATGTCTTACTGGTTGAGGTTATTTACATTATTCATCACAATGAATGACTAATATAGTATAGGCTAATAATAAAATATGGCAAATAGGAATAAACTATAGGTAGGCCTACCCTATGCAATAATCTGTTGCCCTGTTTGGCTACATGTCAAAATGTAAAGGCTGTACATATACAAATGTATATTTAAAAATAAACTAACAACTGCAAACAATGTTAAGAAATTTAAGCCTGGTAAACTTACATTTGATACAAACCAATTGTTATATTTGGCCAGACTTGTGATATCATTTTAAAACAAATAGATAGGTATTGCGCTAAATTATTCACCATGGCATGCCATCTGTGGACAAAAGAACAAGTGACTCTTAGTTTAGGCCTTATTTTTCATAGTTATTTAGTTAAATGTCAGAATGACATCAGTTCTCTTTAACCTGCACTTAATACATTCACATCTGTAAAATAATAAAAGCAATCATATAATTACATTCATGCACCAGATTATGTTCTCATATAACTGTTAAAATTATTTTAAATGAGATTAAGGGATCCCGATAGCCTCTTTTATTGTTGTGACAATAAAAGTAAAACGAGCATGACAGCAACATGACCAAAAATTGCTTGTTTTACCCTTTATGAACAAAAAGCAAACTTACGACCATTCCACTATTCAAAAAAATTTTTTTATAGGCCTACAGTATGTATAAATAATTGATAAATCCGTTACTTCACATTATTTCTGTGCCCTTGGCTGTACTGAGAGTGGCCCCTTTTAAACAAACCTGCATGAAAAATGTGCCAGGTTTATTTGTTTTGGTTCTTAAATATTAATAAATACTCTC